TATATATATACATACATATATATATATATATATATATATAATATATATATATATATATATATATATACACACACAAACACCACACACACACACACACAACACACACACACACACACCACACACACACACACACATACACACACAACAACACACACCACACACACACACACAACAACACATAACACACACACATATATATGTATATATATATACATATTATGTATATATATATATATATATATATATATATATATATATAATATACATATTACATATGCACACACACATATACATATTACACACACACACACATATATGTGTGTGTGTGTGTGTGTAGTGTTTATGCATGTACGTGTATGCATGTACGCATTTCAGTAGTCATAAAATCTTTGTTTTGCATGGTTTATTAACACGTGCACTGAGACTGTATGTATTAGCATGTTTATTCCATCATTAACACGCGGATTAACACTTTTTCTTTCCTTTCCTCGAACACACATTCGAGTTTGTGTTAAATAGGAGTCACAAGTGAACGCATTGTGTTAGTCTTTTCTTTCCGCTCTCCGCTTTCGAAGGGTTTAATTTTCGCGAAGCCGTGCCGTCCCAAGCCGCCGCCGCCAACTCGAACCTCCCGCCAAAAAATGCAAATACTCCTGGGGATATTTATGTTGCCAACGCATAAATTTTTCGCGAATGTGACACATCTCACCTTGGGCCAGAAAAGGATGGCGGTTTATTCGGCCATTTTACAAAATCCATCACATTTTAATCGACAAAGTTCCTGGATGTTATGTGGGAAGTGGCGGGAGCGCTTGTTCGATGGCGTGCTTGACATTGTGTGACCTTGGCTTTGGTTTTATGGGGAGGGAGGGTGAGGGATGGAGGGAGGGAGAAGTATAGATGGAGGGAAGGAGAGAGAGGGAGGAAGAGAGAAAGGGAAGAAGGGAGAAAGTAAGAGAAAAGGGGAAAGAAATATTGGGAAGAGAGAGGAAGGAGATAGAGAGAGAAATAACTATAGGTAGAGATAAATCGAGTCAGAGAGAGAGAGAGAGAGAGAGAAAGAGAGAAAGAGAGAAAGAGAAAAGAAAGAAAGAGAAGAAGAGAGAGAAAGAAAGAAGAAAAAAAAGAGAGAGAAAGAGAGAGAGAGAAAGAAAGACAAAAAGAGAGAGAGAGAGAAGAGAGAAAGAAAGAAAGAGAAAGAGAAAGAAGAGAAAGAGGAGAGAGAGAGGGAGAGAAAGAGAGAAAGAAAGAAGAAAGAAGAGAAAGAGAAAGAGAGAAGAGAGAGAGAGAGAGAGAGAGAGAGAGAGAGAGAGAGAGAGAGAGAGAGAGAGAGAGAGAGAGAAAGAGAGAAAGAAAGACAAGAGAGAGAGAGAGAGAGAAATAGAAAGAGAGAGAGAGAGAGAGAGAGAGAGAGAGAGAGGAAAGCGAAAGAGGGAATGGGAGAATTTTTTTATCAAAATGACAAAAAAGGACATTCATATGCCATAATTACCAATACTCTACACTACATCATTAATACCTGACTTTAATTCACATAATATCTATCAGCTTATTGCACTCATAAAGAGATTATCCTTATTGTCATAATTATCATTATAATCATCATCACGATCATTAACATCATCATCATTATTATTATAATTATTCTTATTCTCATTCTTATCATTATCGTTGTCGTTATTCTAATAATTATCGTTATTATCTTCATTATCATTACTATTTCCTTTNACAACACACACACACACACCAGGACACACACGCACACACACCCAGACACACCACACACACACCAGACACCACACACACACACACACACACACACACACACCCAGACAACACACACACACACACACACACCCAGACACACCCACACACACACCCAGACACACACAACACACACCCAGACACACACACACACACCCAGACACACAACACACACCCAGACACACACACACAGACACACCACACACACACACACACCCAGAACACACACACACACACACACACCCAGACACACACCACACACACCCAGACACACACACAACACACACACACCCACACACACACACACACACCCAGACACACACACACCCAGACACACACACACACACACCAGACACACACACACCCAGACACACACACACACACCCAGACACACACACACACACACACCCAGACACACACACACCCAACACACACACACCCACACACACACACACACACCCAGACACACACACACCACACACACACCCAGACACACACACACACACACAACACCAGACACACACACCCACACACACACACCCAGACACACACACACACCACACACCCAGACACACCACACACACACACCCAGACACACACACACACACCCAGACACACACACACACACACACCAGACACACACACACACACCACACACCCAGACACACACACACACAACACACACACACACACACACACACACACACACACACACACCACACACACACACACACACACACACAGACACAGACACACACACCACAGACACACACACACAACACACACACACACACAGGACACACACAGACACACACACACAGACACACACACACAGACACACCACAACACACAGACACACACACACACACACACACACACACACACACCAGACACACACACACACCCAGACACACACCCAGACACACACACACACACACACACCCAGACACCACACACACACACACCCACACACACCCAGACACACACACACACACACCCAGACACACCACACACACACACCAGACACACACCACACACACACACACCCCACACACCAACACACACACACACACAACCCAAGACACACACACACACACACACACACCCAGACACACACACACACACACACACACACACACACCCAGACACACAACACACACACACACACACACCCAGACACACAAACACACAACACACACACACACACCCAGACACACAAACACACACACACACAACACGCAACCAGACACACACAACACACACAAACACGCACCCAGACACACAAACACACACACACCAAACACGCACCCAACACACAAACACACACACACCACACACCACCAGACACACAAACACACACACACACACACACACACCAGACAACACACAACACACACACACACACACACACCCAGACACACACACACACACACACACACACACCACCCAGACACACACACACCAGACACACACACACCCAGACACACACACACCAGACACACACACACACACACACACACACACAGACCACACACACACCAGAACACACACACACCAACACACACACACACACACACACACACCACACACACACACACACACCCAGACACACACACACACACACACACACAGACACACACACACACAACACCCAGACAACACACACACACACACACACACACACACACACACCCACACACACACACACACACACACACCCCAGACACACAAAACACACACACACACACACACCCACACACACACACACACACCACACACACACACACACCCAGACACCCAGACACACACACACACCCAGCACACACACACACACACACACACACACACCCCAGACACACACACACACCCAGACACACACACACACACACCACACACACACACACACACAACACACACACACACACACACACAATAATTTTCATTTGATTATATGCTTTTATTAGATATGATGTGTTACATGCTTACAATGTTCAGTGGCACAGAAATGTAGTAATTGAAGTATTTATTTTATTATATTAAAATTTGTAATTGCAGCAAGGGTTCTTTACTGTGAAATGCAAAATTGTTTAATAATGCAGTTTTCTCTTCAATCTGCTGATGGGAAATATGTTCAGTACCTTTTTCTTCTTCTTCTTTTTCTGAAAAAAAAATAAATAAATAAATAAAAATAATTTATGTCAGTGAAGTAGCACTGGTATAAATGTCTTTTGTCATATAGAGGGTCCTGTCCTACTAAAAACAAAAATGGACATATCAAATTTGATATCATACACGCAGTACAAATATGTAAATTTCATAAGGTTAGGTCAGTAAGGTATCGAATCTCAAATTATTATAATCTCATAGGATTTCTTGGGGAACTTACCTTAGACATTTCTGTAGTTTGGGTTCACAATGGGACACTAAAGAACCTTGTCTGCATCATTGATTATTTTCACAGATAATTGTTTTTTTCTTCATTATTATTGCATATGAACAAATTTAAAGATTTTTTTTTCTCATAAAAAAAAGTTTTTTGATGCTTTAGAAATATGTAAATGATTTTTTTCTCTCTCTCTGTCTGAACAGAAATTTTGATGTGATATTAGAGTGCAGTTGTCTGGTTATTCCCTATTGAACTTGACATTGTTATGTTATTGCTTTTGCACTTGTGTAAAAATTCTAGTCATAGAGAATATGGTTGTCTGTTTTGCTAGTCTACTGACCATGTGCTCAATTGTTTGCAGTTCTTGCATTAGCAAACCAGTTAAATTGGCTTCAATGTCAAATGAATTGTAAGCAGCTTATCTAACTTTTGTGGCTACTGTGAGCTTACTGTTTTGCTTTTAATTGGTAGATTTCAGAATTTGAACTGTGCAAGAAGGAACAAAAGTATAGCATTTAAAAGTAGATGCATGCAGTATTTTCATTAAAATGTGTTTATACACATTTTATATTATCTAATCATAATTGATTTTGAATACTTGTAATATACTTGTGTGCCAATAGTCAGTGTCTGACATCACCAGTTGATCTTATTAGAATCACTGTTTATTAACCTCTTTGCAGCAACAATAATTGTCTCAAATATATACAGATTATATAGTATGCCCTCTCTTGTATGCTATATATGATTAGTTTCCCAGTTAAATTGAGATTCAATTTGTACAGGTGACTTGATGTTTGTAGGGTGGAAGACTTTTTTTCTTATTTTCAGATGGTAATAAAAGAGTTAATGGTTAAAAGGAATCTTTTTATTCCCTGCATTTAATTTAGTGTATTTGTGTTATGGCATTTTCCCCCCCTAAATCGGACAAAGTGTGCTATCTTGTACAGTAGAACTTTACAATCTTACATTTAAAAATACTTTAACTCCATTAAAAATAACATATTTCCACCTTTTTGGAAATAAGTAATGCTGAGCCTTAACTGAATTATAAAGCAAACAAATTTTAGCAATTAGCATAATTATTACCTCTTACTGATGAACATTTTTTAAATCCCTTATTATCACAGTAGATTCCAAGGATTTCTATCCTCAAAGGTTCATATCATCATATTACCCAAAGTGAAATATTTCCAAAACAAGTATCTCAGTTTGAATAAACAACAAGCACTTTCATCATCCTGCACTCTCGACTAAGGTTAGAGATCACCTGGGGGAACACCTTGAACAAAATGGTATCTACCTGTCTGTTGCATTTACAAAAGAAACTTCAGTTAACCAGCATAATGCCAGAAGGGGTGTAACTATATCAAAAATCTTAAACTAAAGTTTCTGGACTTGCTCTCTTAATCTATATCTAAATCAACCCAGAATTACTGCTGTATATAAAATTATATATTAATCAATAAATAGTAAGATTCCTTGTAAAAGGAAAGTATCAAAATTTCCAAGGTATATAAACCAAGTAATCAGTATATATAAATATCAATCAATCAATATATATGTATAGATATAGGTGTGTGTGTGCACATATGTATGTGTGGGTTGATGGACGGCAAATACAGGTATCTTGTGCAATTTCAATGTCATCAATATGACAACCCATTAAATCTAAAATACCTTACACTACTAGCAATAAAAAATGCTTTTGAGCAGTTAAAGGTTTAAAGTTCATTATACCTAAATAACCTCTAGAAGTAAGTACACTGCCTCTTCATTGAATATAAAATATGATCACATGATGAGATCCATGTCTAAACACCAATATCTGTGCTCCTCATATAGGCATAACAATACTGAAGTACAAGCATCCCTTTCTTAGATATCAATAATCTACTGTTACAAATACTCTGTTCCACATGGCTTGTACCCCAGGCCTACAACCTGTCACTGACTGCCAACCCTAACAAGTCCTGAACCCATTGCCAAACTCTCCATCACCAAACTTGCACTTGCTTCCAATGAACCATTTCCACCACAACTACAAATTTCAATTTTGTATCTTCACTGGATTAATAATAATAATAAAAAAAATTTCATACTAATCTGCATGAAATAAAAAAACACAGTGGATTATGCGTATTATCTAATGCCCACTTTGAGCATGAAAGGCATGACATTTACACCCCAAAATAGAAATTAACCAAAGTAGCTCATCTTGGTTTGATTAAATATTTATTAATGGTAACAACCAGGTGATGCAGGAGAATATGTAAATACATGCATAGTTAACTGTCATTTTGGTTTATTACTTCTGTTTACACAGATATAGCTAAATAAGTGAAGTGGTTAGTCACCATTAGTCACTAGGTCCTCCTGATCTCTCCTGGTTACCCTTTTCCTTGACTTTTGAAGTTTTTTTTATTATTAGTAGTAGTACTAATAACCTTATTATAATTATATTATTATCATTAATAAGTTATGATAACAGCACTGGAGAAAATAATAGATAAAGGAATGATAACAAATAAAGGAATGTTGAGTTTAGTTTAGGCAGACCTGCTTGATAACAAAGCACTCGTAAAACCATCTGTGTAAAAAGAAAAGAAAAAGAAGAAGAAAAAAGTTCCTATCCCAACGGCTTAAATTAACCCATTTACACTATCAAAGCTCAAAAATAATTACAAGCAAACTTTTATCATACAACCATATGCATCAACTGTGATACACCAAGTCCCTATTTAGGTCAGAGTTCCTCAGATTTTTTGTTCTTCAATGCCCTCTCCTTTTTAATAGTAGACAGCTTCTCATATGCTTCTTTAATTTTGATGAATTCCTTGTGGGCAATTTCCTTTTCTTCAACTGTGTGTCTGTAAAACAATATATCAATAGATAAAATATTCAATGTTTGATGATCTGATCTAAATATTTTTGCATTCTCCTAAAGCAGTCATGTTAACCCAGTGGATTTGGGTGCCATGAATGTCATGTCCTGGGAAAATTGGGCTGAGGGCCGGGATGACAGGAGTGTACCTTCATGAAAAACTGGCTGGTGTGACGGGAATGATTCACTATGAGTGGGCAAAGCTCTTGGAGGAAGATTCAGCATAGTGGGCACTTAAAGATCTTGCATTATTTCCATCAGTAAACAAGGATCCATGAGCTGAATGAGCACTATTTCCAGGGAGAATACTATTTACATACATACTCAACCCACCATGACTGGTGGCATGAGGTGTTATACAGAAAATTGAATAATACAAAAATATTAATAAATGACAAAATATTATCATTGGCTGGAATTATCGATTATCGAAGGGGATGATATGGAGTCTGTGCAAATAAAACAGTCTATTACCATCTTGATACAGTACATTAAATGAGAAATATAGACTTTGGAAAATGGCAAAAAATACCTATGCAGAAAAAAACTAATAACCTTGCAAATGGGAGGCAAGGAATCTTGACACCTAACAGGAGCATTCACATGGGTTAGGTCTATAAGCCACTAAAGTAAGCCTAATGTCCAGATTTTGGGCCACTTCCAGCAGAGAGGTACAGAATCCAACAGTTTAATGCTACAGTAAGTATTATAGAATGTTGCTCAAAACCTAAAAAGGGGAAAAAAGAGTACAAGTATCTGGCATACATGTAACATTCAATGTTTTACTCTTGGTAATGATTTTCATGTCAAATATTACTGTAAAAGGGCTGTAAATTATTGTATGGAATATGACAATCACATTGAGATCTCTACTAAAGAATCTGGTAAATTATGTATAAATCTTTATAAAAGACCCTATATGTTTCCTTTTTCAATGGCCAATCATTTTCATATTCTATAATGAATATGAAATTTCAACTGCCAAGGTGCAGAACAGCATGCACTGACACACCCCAGACAAAAATTTACTAATCATGAATGGGTTGATTTGTGTGGCCACATACTTAAAAATTGCAAATAAAAAGTATTCCAGAAAATAAATACTTTTGTGTACCCTTTCTCCTCCAAAACACTAAGCATATCCC